TTCCGATGTGAACATATATAATGTGATATAATAACTTGGATAACCAAATTTAATGAGACCAAAAAGTTACATTCACAGCATGTCCACTAGCATTCTCAATTAGAAGTTCACAACCACGTATCACGTGATTGACATCTCCCTCTCTCTCTCTCTCTCTCTCTCTCTCATGTATCACGTGGTTAGGCTACTAATTACAATCACGTGATTGAATATTTGCATTGTTAAGAACAAAAAAATCCAAGATTTCAAGGATATCAATTATTAATTTTACACGTGTTTGCACCATAAAAATAAGTCAATCTGATATTCTTTTTTTTTTTTTTTCCAAAATTGCATTAATTTAATGCCTTAATATATCTTTTCCAATGATCTGGTGAGGTTTAGAATAGCTTAAGAAAATTGCTTTTAGAACTTGTGACTTATCATAAATATTCTCAATAAAAAAATTAGTTCCAATTTCATCCGGAAAAATTGCTTCATTGATCTAAAATTTCAATATACAATATAATTCAAGACGTGCCTAATAATTTTTTGAAGTAACTTATCTCAATAATACTATTGTAACTTATCTCTCACATCTAGAGAGACTAAGATATTTTTCAGTACAATTTAGACAAATGCAATATGATTTTCCTCTCAATCCGAGGGATTAGGCACAACACCATGTCAACTTATAGAGGAAAGGTAGATTTACGATTTAAATAAGTCCACAAGCAAAAGTTCAAAAAGAAGAAAAAAAATTATACTTCCTTAAAAATAATTTTGCACAAAACACTTATCATTTTACATTTATTACTACGACAAATTGCCATCCCACAATTACCATCACCGCTGGCACAATCGACCACTATCCCTCCCCCCTCCCCCTCTCTTTATAATTGTTGTCCTCATCTCTACCACAATTGTTATTGTTGTCATTGTCGCAACAAATGTCACCATTTTCATCTGAGATTACACTAGCATTACCTCTACTCGATTACCACCATCGTCGTTGTCAGATATATGTTTGTATGTGCATGTGCATTTGGGAATACATTAAGATTGTAACATAAATAAGTATTTTTTGTGGACCATTAAAATGTCGTTTTTTATTAAAAAAAAATTCTTTTCGTGTTAGTTTTTTTTTTTTTTTTTTGTAATCATTCAAACAACACTTACCAATGAAAGTGATTTCCTTATAAAGTAGTCCTAACAAATACCTGTTTAAAAATAAATTTTCTAATTTCACAAGTCAATGATCACACTAGCAACTTTCCTTTCTTTAAGTTGTTTTGGTCACAATATTGGTATCAGATTAGCTACATATTGGGGCAGCTCCAAAATTTAAGGGTGGGTCTTCATATTTGCATGAAAAAAAAAAAAAAAAAAAGCAAGGGAAGAAGTGGCGCATAATAGAAATTAAGAACATACAATCGGAAGCTCACTCTTCTATTAAACGTAGACCTTAATACCAGCTGGCAATAATTTCTCGTAATATATGATTTTAAGGGATACTTGGTGATAAAGTTTTAGAGTAATGAGAGAAAATGGAAGAACGTAAGTGTACAAAAATTCAACGTGATTCTGCCTATGAGACTCATCCATGAGTCAAATGCCCCGAAGGCTGTATTATTCTCAAGTGAATGCATGCATGATTCACACATATTTTGATGATATCATGATCAACAAATAGATTTTTATTGATCGCAGCTCGATATCAAACGACAAAACTTCATTAGTGTCATAGATGGGATGACTAGCGAACCACTTCCAGAAGGGAAATGTGCATTGACCAACTGGCTCCAACACAACAGCTTGTGCAGGGGCAGCAAGAGTTCAACACCTACTGGAATAACATCATCAAACGACAAAACTTCATTAGTGTCATAGATGGGATGACTAGCGAACCACTTCCAGAAGGGAAATGTGCATTGACCAACTGGCTCCAACACAACAGCTTGTGCAGGGGCAGCAAGAGTTCAACACCTACTGGAATAACATCATCCTACTTCTAGAAGGCATCACGTCACACCTAGGAAATGTAATGGTCCCAATATTCTCTTCACCAATTCTTAACAAATTGGGGATCATGTGATGATGAAAGAGGGATCACCTACCCCGTAGGTATATAAACACCAAGGGCTTCTCCATGTGAAAACGTCGAACCTATTATAATCCTTTCTTCTTTCCCAAGCAATTGAAAATCCCCAAAGAGCACTAGACACTATTAGAGTGAATTATTGAAGCTCTCTAGTAGGTGAACCACTACAATCCATGTGCACATTTTGTTATATGTCATTCACATTCGTATTGCCCAAGTTTAATTCGGGTCGGTTTTGATTGAATTCGGATTATGTAATTCGGACAAATTTTGGGTTAGAATTCGGGTTGTGTTCGGGTTACATAATTCAGGTTAGAATTCGAGATGGGTTCATTCAAGTCCGAAATCAGTCTGTTGTCCTAAACTTAGTACATACTACATAGTATTTACCTAAAGTAATAACCAATAACTTCAATCAAATGTTTAACATAAAGATCATAATATTTAAAACATAAGACATAATAGCCAAATGTTTAACAAAAAACTGAACTAGAAGATTGATCCTTAGTGTTTTACCTTATAAGTTATATTGCTATATTGATTTTTACATTTATTTTAAATATGTTCAGGTTGAGCCCGATTTATATATTTGGGCTGAGCCCAATTTGGAATTCGGGGTGAACCCAATTTATATATTCAGGTTGAATCTAGCATCCCGAGATCTCAACCTGAGTATTGTTCAAATTCAATTCTGGTTTGTGTTTTTTTACTCAGGCCCAACACAAGTATTAAAAATTTCAATCTAAGCCCGATTTTTTCTGAGTTGGGTTGCAGTTAAATTCAACTTAACCCACCCAAGTTGCACTCCTAATTTACACCGTCACTCACAAGCCTTAGGCTATTCAACTTAAGCACCACGACCATTAGTTAACTTCAAGTTTATATGATCATTATATTTGATAGACATTTGGTACGATATCAAAAAGTATTTTTTGGGTATCTTACTGCACACAAAATATTAATTTTTTAGGCTAAGTTACAAGTTTTTGGAAGTCAATTTACAAATTTTTTGAGTGTTTGGAATTGATCTCAGTATTTTATGATTGATCCCAAACACCCTCAAATGTTGCAACTTCACCCAAAAATAGTGTGCCTTGACGTTGGATCGATGCTTACTTTCTTGTTATAATTTGAACTCAAAAATTATATTTTATGCTGACAAAATTATAAATTTTGGTATAAAAAACAAACCCCAAAGACAACCAGGCTAAGATAATTTTGGACAAAAAGAGGCAATTCCATGAATGAGGCTCTTATTATTGCATGGGTTGGAGAAGATTATATTTGATGGTGTGCATTGCACAATTGAACATAGTTGTGTCCATTAAAGATTATATTTGTTATAGGAGCAGGCTTGTGTCGACTATTCTTTCAAGTTTAGCGGCTGGTCAATATGACTTGAGTTGGGTTAGAGATTGTACCTCAAGAAATAAGAGTGATTAACTCTTAGAGAGTGTGAGGAATAATTAAACCTAATACTTCTTGATTACTAAATTCTAGGTCCAGCCACTAAACCATCTTTAAGAGTTTGATTTAAAAGAATTTTACAAACAAAAGAAAACACTCTACTTAATGCATTACTTGAAGAATATTTTTTACCACACAAGTAACAGTCACTTTTATAGTTCTTTTTCAAAAAAAATTAAATTTAATGCAATCTCATCTCAGATTGACCAAGTAAAGTAGCCTAACTACATTATTGACGAGCTTTTTATTTTTTTTGTCCTTTTCTTTTCCTGTAGTGCAGCGAAGTGGTGTGCAAGGCTAAGCCATGATGCGGAATTGAGCAATCAATATCACAATAGTGTGAACCTTTGAGTTGACTACAATAATAATAATATTAATTTGAGAATAGTATTCATTTTTATTTTTTTTTAATCTCATAAATATAGATTGCTAATCATCATATATAATTTAAGAACTGTATTCAAATAGGTCTCGACTCGACCGTATCTAGATTTTCGGTCCGTTTATAGCAAAGATCCAAACTTAGAAGGGTAAAAGAATGGTAGTTTAACTTAAAGATAGAAAAGAATAAATTTATTTCAACTTTTTTAATCATAAAGATAATTTGGCTAAGATTATTTTAGTTACAAAAAGGCCGTATTGTTAAGTTTTTAAAAGAATGATCACGTGTTTAAGAAAATGATCATCAAAAAAATTTAACGGATTGTCTAATTAGGGACCAAAGTAACACGGATTGAATATTTTAGGAATGCAATTGAAGACTAAATTAACAAAAAAAAATGCATACTTTAATAACCAAAAGTACTATTAACACTATAAAGATATATATTGTTTTTATATTTTAACTGTATCATATATTCAAATAAATTTAAAATTGAAAATAACAAAAAATCAGTTGTCTAATTGAATGAATGATCAATGGATGATTAATAAGTACGTATAAAGAAAAATATTTTTGATGTTATTGGCAATAAAGTTATGGTTATATTTTTTTGAATAAAAAAAACTTAATAAGGGTCAATTTTAAGAACTAAAAAGGAGTAGTAGTCCATTTCTTTTGTCTTTTTTATGTTTATATACTTAAATTTATTGGCGTTTAACTGTTTTTATTTTATGAATTTTTAAATATCAGATATAATACAATAAATTTAAATATATTATTTATTTTTATTAATTAAAAAATAAAGACCACATTTTGCCTCCACCCAAAGCCACCAAGGTGACTTAACATAAATACCTATCGGATCAATGAACAGCCAACCGCAGAAACTGACAAATCGGTCCTGACCATTAACATATGATTCTCTCTTTAAAGGCAGATATCACTTTTTATCATTTGCCAAATGTTTTTTTTTCCTACCACAATCAAAGTCCCACAAATAAAGGACTGAGAGAGAGAGAGAGAGAGAGAGAGAGAGAGAGAGAGAGAGAGAGAGAGAGAGAGAGAGAGAGAGAGAGAGAGAGAGAGAGAGAGAGATGGAGCTAGAAATCATCACCATTATCAAATCATACATGGAGGGGGAGATCAACAACTGTATCAAGGTATATCTTTTAGCCTCTGTGTCTTTATTCTACTGCTATGTTGCAGGCAAGATTGTCCCCAAAGGAAAGCTCAGACTCTTCTCTCTCATCCCTGTGGTATGTCTCAACCTACTTCTCCCTCTAAATCTACACACCATGCACCTTCAAGGCTTAACTGCTTTCTTCATAGCTTGGCTTGCCAACTTCAAACTCCTGCTCTTTGCCTTTGGCAAGGGTCCGTTATCTAACCCATTTCTCTCTCCTTCCCTTTTTATAGCACTTGCTTGTTTCCCCATTAAAATCAATGAAACCCCTTCTCCAAAACAACTAAAAGACCATAATAAAGAAAACATGTCTCCCAAAACCTCCCAAAATGGCCATAGTGAACAAAACCCATCTCCCAAAACCTGCCAAAAAGGCCTAAAACCAATTTGGAATTATGCTATAAAGTTTCTATGTATAGCTATTTTGCTCCGTTTGTATGGTTATAGTGAGCATTTTCATCCAAAGCTTTTGTGGTGTGTCTATAGTCTCCATATGTACTTAGCTTTGGAAACATTACTAGCCATAGTGGCAGCCCTGGCTCGAGCCCTGTGGGGCATGGAGCTTGAGCCACAGTTCAATGAACCCTACCTCTCAACCTCTCTCCAAGACTTCTGGGGTCGAAGATGGAACATAATGGTGACCCGAATTCTACGCCCGACTGTTTACGAACCTGTGCTCCATACTTCATCTCGGGTCATGGGCCGAAAATGGGCTCCACTTCCTGCCATTTTCAGCACATTTTTGGTGTCCGCCATAATGCACGAGCTTATATTTTATTACTTGGGTCGTACATGGCCCACATGGGAAATCACAGGGTTCTTTTTGCTCCAAGGTGTCGCTTTAATGGTTGAGGTTGCAATCAAGAAGGCGTTTTCCGGCCGGTGGCAGTTGCCTTGGATCGTCACGGCTCCATTAACTATCGGGTTCGTGATGGTTACCGCATTTTGGCTGTTTTTTCCTCCATTTTTGAGGTGTAAGTCAATGGAAAGAACCTTTGCAGAGTACGCAGCAATGGGTTCATTTGTGAAAGATGTGGGCACGGCTTTAACGTCCAAGTATCTCAACAATGTAACAACAGTTTAGGATTTGTTGTTACACCTCATATCACCACAAAATAGGTGTTTTTTCGTCCCTTCAATGTATGCTTTTTCCACTTTTCTGCTCACTGGATTATTTACCGTTAATTTAAGCCGAACTTCTTGTATAATGAGAATTCTAGTAGAGAATTATGTTAATTAGGGATATATAAAATTGGGGTTGGCAAGATCTTGCAAAAAGTCATATGAAACTCACGATCCCAAAAGGACCTCATTATGTTTGGTGGCGTTTGCTAAGGATAATTAATAATTTCACTATAATTGGTAGAATCGTTATTGGCAACAATACATTTTGGCCTTGAGTAACGCCAAGTTATATGCTTGTGAATATGAATGGATCTCAATTTTTTTTCTTAATTGTTTAGCTATATTTTTATATATAATAAGTTGTGTCCACCCTTAAAATTGACTTTCATTTGTTTATTTGTGAATTCTTTTGATTTTAAGATCATAATTCAATTTTCAATTGTTTGAAATATGACATACAATTAAATTTTAATTTTTTAAGATTGATGATTAACTTGTTTCAATTGAATTCTAGAGCTATTTTTATGTTTATTTCTTGAATTTTTATTTATTTATTTATTTTAATTCTTATTCAATTGGGAATATATTTTATCTATTATATCTCTATACGTGTGTGACTCAAGTATAATTAGTGGTTGATTTCAATATGATCATTTGGTAAAAAGTAATATTATTTGGTAATGACCTTTTTTATTTGCATTTAGAATTGTTTGGACGTTTCGAATTTATGAAATCTTTTTAATGGATGGTTTGAAGTTTAATAGAGTTTAGATTTGTGATCTCCACTATTTTATTAACATACATAAAATTAGAGTCATCTTTGTGGAAGTCTAAGGTCATTAATTGCTTAATGTTATAGAGCTGGACTTAGGGCGTGTTTGTTAATCCAAATTTAGCACTTAAAATGAATATATTTGACACTTATTGATTAAACTTGTTTGATAACTAAAATTTCAACTCTCTTAATATGTTAAGTGTTATTTTAAAATAGACTACAATATTAAGTAAGAGATATCTTACTTAATTCTGAAAGTTGAAAGCTTTCAGTAAGGTCATCTTTAATTATATTTATAATATGACTATTATACCTCAAAATATTTTGCAATACTATTAAAACTCTAATTAGTATTCTCTCCAAAATTCTTATCCTATCTATCCTCCTTGTCAATCGTCTTCTTCAACGATAGATCTTCTTCTTCTTTTTTCTTTTTTGCTTCACTCGTCTGTTGCAAATATACATTCATTGCACACATACACACATTCAATGCGCACACACACACATACAGAGTTACACACACCCAAACACGAACACACAGGCAAGCACTGCACACACATATACCCACCCACCCAAGCCACCTACACACAAGCACAAATTGCACACACACATGTTATTAATGAGATTTAATTTGTTTTATTTTTTAAATTCGATTATTTATTCATTTATTTTTTTTAATCAGATGTTATTGTTCAGTTATAGTGTTATTCAATTTATTATTGTTCACTTATTGTTATTCGATTATTTATTAGTTATTGTTTATTTTTTTGATCAGATGTTATTGTTTACTTATTGTGTGATTTAATTTGTCATTGTTCACTTATTGTGATTCTGATTATTTATTTGTCTTTGTTCTTTTTTTTTTATTAGATGTTATTGTTTAGTTATTGTGTTATTCAATTTATTAATGTTCACTTATTTTGTTATTTAGATGTTATTTTTATGATTAGATGTTATTGTTCATTTATTATATTATTTAATTTATTATTGTTCACTTACGGTGATTCAAATATTTATTTTTTGTTTTTTATTAGATTTTATTGTTCAATTTTTGTATTATTCAATTTATTATTGTTCAATTATTCTGATTGTTCACTTATTGTTATTCAATTATTTGTTAGTTATTTTTTATCAAATATTTTTATTCACTTATTGTGTTATTTAGATATTATTTTTTGATCAGATCTTATTGTTTACTTATTGTGTTATTCAATTTGTTATTGTTCACTTATTGTGATTTGATTATTTATATTGATTTGATATATTTTTATTTTTTATTACATAAAATCATATTTTATAAATATTTTTAAATTAAAGAGTGGAAGTTTAAAAGTGAAAATTAATTTATTTTCAAACTTCAGCTCTATATAGTTATCAAATAGTTTGATTTAATTCAGTATTTCAATTTTAATAGATGTCAAATTGTCCACAAATTCAACATTCAGTTTTCAGATTTCAGCTTTTAATTTTAACAAACATAACCCTAGTTAAAGTGCCCACACTTAGACTAATTTTTGCTCTGCCATGCCTGGCCAAAAAAGTGATTCAACTAAGAATGTTAGAAGAAAGGCAGTTCACAGAGGAAAAAAAAAAGTTAGCTCAACTCTTTTGAAAAAAATAAAGACAAGCATAAATGTATGATATCAAAATGTATTTTTTTGGTACCCTAATACAAAATATTATTTTTTTTAGGCTAAATTACAAAATTTTGGGAGTCTAATTTATTGAAGTGTGTGAAATCGATCTCAATATTTTATGATCAATCTTAAAATGCGAGAATTTATCCTAAACACTATCAAACATTTTAACTTCATCAAAAATTATTGTAACTTGACCTAATATTCATATTTTGTTGGATCAATCCTAAGATTTTAGGTTACTTTCTTGTTGTAATTTAACCTCTAAACGTTATATGTTACATAAAAAATGATAAACTTGGGTGTTAAAGTCAAACCCGGAAGACAACGGAGCAAAGATAATTTTGAACAAAGAAAAAGGCACTCCAATAAATGAGATTCTTGTCATTATTTGGCTTTGAGACGGATAGATTTATACATTTTTACCCTACTTAAATACTTTTTTTTTTAAAATTCAAATCCGTAATACCTAATTTTCAACAGTACTATCTTTATTCACAAACCAAGATTTATGATTTGTGGCACAGCTTGATGAAAAGGTATCATGTTTTACAGTTATGTTTTGTCTTTTGTCTTTTTTATTTTCCAAAAATGTTTTGACCATGAGCTGCGACAGATTGAGCTAGCCCTGCCGGCGAATCATGTGGAATTTCGAAATAACTGTTGGCGGCTGCTAAGCGGCTAATATATATATATATATATATATATATATATATATATATATATTAATATTAATTGAGAAGCAGGATCGTATAGACTCTGCACCATAAACCTCTAACAGGTGTTTTTTATGTAGATCGTTAAATTATGATCTAATATTCACTAGGCAAAGTTATTCAATATTAATTACCAAAACCTATTAAATTTAGTTTTTCACTAAATAGAAAATATCTATTACATATGTATTGTGATCTAATCCTATTAGGAAAATCTTAAAAATTAATAATAAAAAAAATTACGCCCCTGTTAATAATAAAAAATTGACCCAATGACCCAAATAGTATTTATCTTTATCCATTTAATTTATTATACCTATTTGGATTAAAAAAAATTAAATTCAAACCCTGCTCTTATGTCTATCTCCCAACAAATGTGCAAAAGTTCATAGCAGACTAACAGCGCAGCGGTTGTGCTACCTTTGTCATCTATTCATTTACTACGGTAATATCTTACATCATGATTTAGCTTACATGCATGCCAAGGACTTTAAATCTTTTGAATAGTTTAATCAATTGGCCACTTGATTATTTAGTTGGTTAAATGATTGGTTGTTAAAGCTTCTGATGATGTGGCTAAGTTAAAAATTCAAAAGTGGTGGTATTGACGAGTTAATGTTCGGCAAATTAAGTCAGTATAATTTTTTTAAACTTAAATTTAATAGTTATGCTTTTTTTTATTGGGGACGAAAGCGCAATTTAATTACTAAATTCCACTGTATAGATATTGCTTGCCTCCATTGCTGAAATTTAGAATATTGAAACTTTAGTAGTGATATTACTTGTCTGTGTTTTCTAAATACTTGCCAATCAATTGCATATTTGTTTTTGTTTTTTGTAGATAATTTATTGTGTAGTTAATAAGCACTCCTAATTGGGTTGATTAGAAATTTAGGAAAGAAAGATAAATATTAATTAATCTCCCTCAATAATTGGCGGGACTCTGGCCGCCCCAATTAGAATCGTGTAAAGACCGAAGAGGCGCCAAAGACATAAGCCAATGAGTAATGGTTAAGAGGAGTTTAGTACATATATTGACGTTCATATTTAATACCATTTGACCTCTCATTTATGACAATGTGAGTGACGGAAACGAGACCATTAATGAGTCGCTGCAACCTCAAAGCCTAAATCTACAATCATGATGGTTAGACATTAATGGTTATTATGCCGAGTATACATCCTCAGCGTGCCTTGAGGTACTGTCCCCCCGAGCATTTAATGCTCAATAGTACTTGTCACCTGTCGATCGCAGAAATTTGGGTGCCCGGAGACAACTATAAATGCTCGACATGTCCCGAGTATTTATCCTGTCATCTTAGCATGAAATATGTGAAGATCTGGGTGGAGAATACTCATTACACATGGCTAAGAGTGCCAGACATTGAATGTTCTGATAGGACTTAAGGCCTATTGCACTCATTACTAAATCCAAGGATAAATACTTTTCAAAAAAGAGAGTAAAGGTACGCAGTACTAAATTGAGAAAAAGAATACACTGCGCTCAAGCCTCCAATCAGATACTGACTTAAATTTCGGAAGGGATAAAATAGGTGTTCACCCCGGCTCCCTTTCTGACCTTGTGATTATTTCAGGTTTACCAAACAGGCAACCGTTATTTCAATCTATTGCAAGAAATCTCTCGTGCAATAATTATAAAACTGTGGTATTAAGGTAACAAACTACTGTTTACATAATGACCCAAAAAAGAAAAGCAAAAAAAATAATTTGACCAAAAAATTGAAAAGACTTACTCAACAATGGTGTGCCCCGCAACCCGTTATTTTTAGCTTATTTTTAACCTTTTATTTGATAATTTGGCCAACCTGTTATATTTATTTTTAATTTTTTTTAAACCAAGCGGATATAATAAATTAAATGGATAAAGATAAAAATCATCCGGATTATTTTGTTGATCTGTTAATATTGTAGAGGTGCAAGAATTTTTATTATTATTAACCTTTAAGACTTTCCTAGTAAGACTAGATCACAAGAAATATATAATAGATATTTCCTATTTAGTGAAGAACTAAATTGTATAAGCTTTCATAATTAATTTTGAACATCTTTGTCCTGTGACCGTT